TATTATCCAGGTTGAATGACAAAAAGCTTTCAGTTGGATTATTTTTAGACCTTTCCAAAGCATTTGATGTAATCAATCATAACATCTTACTAAACAAACTAAAACTTTATGGTGTCAGAAACGTAGCCAACGATTGGATTAAGAGTTATCTCTCTTCACGTAAACAATACGTCTCCGTTGAAAATCACCAATCTACTACGGCCTTCATCCTAAACGGCGTACCTCAAAGCTCAATCTTAGGCCCTCTACTTTTTCTAATCTATATTAACGATATCCAAAGTGTATCTACCGATATAAAATGTTTGCTTTATGCTGACGATACCAACCTCCTATTTACTCCTGATAACATCTCAAACTGTTCTGATTCAATTAACCAAGTGCTCTCTAAATATTCTGATTGGTTCTCTGCTAATAAACTCATAATAAACTACTCTAAGTGTTCTTATATCATCTTTGGCCCAAAAATCTTAACTAATTTGTCTCCAAACCTAAACCAACAATATATCAAACCTAAACCATCAATATCAACAATATCTCAATAAATCGTGCATCTTCTTCTAAATTTTTAGGTATAACCATTTCTGAAAATCTTTCTTGGGAATCTTATCTACAATCTATCTCCTCTAAAATTAACAAACTCATAGGTCTTTTCTACAAAATCAAGCACAAATTAACCAAATCCGCCTTAAAACAAATCTACCATGTTTTTATTTATCCTCATCTCACTTACTGCATAACAATTTGGAGTAACTCACCAAAAACCCATCTTCATTGTATGATATTGTCACAAAAAAGAGCTATACGCTTAATCTTCAACTTGAACCCTTTCTCTCCCACTAGCTCTTTTTTTAGTAAACATAATATTTTGTCGATTAATTGTTTATACATTTATTTTACAGCTATTTTTGTTATCAAATTCTTAAATAATTTACTTCCCTCATTTTTTTCTAACTTTTTTACATTCAGTGAATCTGTTAAAACTCTCAAAACTAGACACACTACTATCTTTTACTCAGTAAAAACTCGCCTTAAACTCATCTCTACAAGTTTAAAAACAACTGGCCCTAAAATTTGGAAATTATTTGTGCCACATGCCATTCATAACATAACAACAAACAAGCAACTCTTCAAAAAAAAGGTTGCGATCTCAGCTTTACTTACTTCACCCCGACACCACCATCTAACGATTTATATACATTAATATATAGCTGTTGTTTAAATATAAATGGATGTGTGGGTGTGTGTTGTGCGTGCGTATGTGTGGTGCGTGTGTGTTTTTGTCTGTCCGTTATTATTTTGATTATTTGACTGGTTCAGAAGTATTATCTGAATGTATTTCATTCGAGTAAACATTTTTATAAAATTTCGATATAGTATTTGAATGCATTTGAACGCTGAAATTGAGTTTCTTAATTTTCTAACCTTTGAACCTTTATGTTTATTAATGACTTAGTTAAGGGTGGCCTCTCCACAAGTATATTTTAAACTAATTTGGTCCTCTATAATGAAAATAAAAAATAAATATATGAATAAATAAACAAATAAATAAATATATATATATATATATAGTTGTTCAAAAAATCCACCGACGATTCAGCATTAACAAGTTTTATGGTTGATTTTCTAATATTTTGAACTAGTTCTTTACAATTAAGTCTATTCAAAATGTTGAAATTCATTTTATAATTGTGTGTCCTACGGGCCAATTGTATCAACAGATCGATGGAATAGCCATGGGATCGCCACTGGGTGTCCTATTTGCCAATTTTTATGTAGGATATTTAGAAAGCGAAACTTTCAAAAAACATCCGGAACTTAAACCACATATCTATATACGTTACTTAGACGACATTTTTATCTCATATAGCAATCCAGACTATGTTCAACAACTCTTAATGATCTTCAACCAGTCAAAAATTAATTTCACAATAGAACACGAAGCCAATAGATCTCTACCATTCCTTGATGTTCTTGTTAAACATGACAACCATAATTTTACAACTTCTGTTTACATAAAAAATACCAATAAAGGCATCTGCTTAAATGGAATAAGTGAGTGCACTGAAGGTTATAAAATCAGCACAATTAGATCATTCATCAATCGCGCA